CTTTTTAAAATATTAAAAACGCAAAACACACCTGATGCGAATTCTTTGCTCTTCATTTTCTATAAGCAGAGTTAACAGACCCTGTTGTATTTTCTTGTAATTTATTAAAAGAAGGTACACCGCCATCGTGTGCCGACTAAACTGACTTGAACGCCCCCGACGTCGTAATTACGACTTGTCAACTCGTAAGTAGGAACGTCCCAGGAGGACTTGAAAGCAGCATCAGTCCATGTTGACTGGATACAGTTGCCAGGTCTCGCAAGAACAAGCTACTGAATAAAACAAGTGTCCAACATACGCAAATTCTCTGATCAAAATAATTCCAAATAAGCGACCAAATTAAATTGAAATAAGACTAAAAACGCTCTCTGAAAATGTATGTTGTAAAAGTGTAATTCGTGACTTCACACGTTTATAAATAACTTTTCGTTTATTTTCAGCAGACATGGCAACACTGCTGTAAGCACTAACAGTGATCTTGCACTGATCGCGAGAACTGGAGGATGCTCCCCCTAGTGGTGTGGCCACAATTCATTTTACAATTAATAATAATAATAATAAATATGTTCAGTTTATGTAAATGAACAATTGTGGTGCAAATCTGCTAAAAAATGTATGTGCAAAATGCAATTTCTGTTTATTATATTCAGAAATAAAAATAATTAAACATTTCTCTGAATCCCTTACAGTCAAAATGCAATAAAATGGTTTGAGCTCCCATATAGACTTTATTGTAGAAATGATTTCGCCCCGTACTTATTTTACTTTACTTAGTGCACCGATGGAGGCACTATACTAACAGATCGTACAGAGAATTCACAGAAGAAGACGAACACGGAAGCGTCTCAGTATTTCTAATCTGAACTGTATATATTATTGTTATTTGTCTGATGCGAAATGTGTACTGGTTGTGTGCAGAAACAGTATCCCGACAGGGTGAGTTCATGATCAATGGTGTGCACACTTTATGCGAATCCTTCTGCTATTACTTGCTATGTGCTCCTTTAATGGCATTAAAGTGGATAGAGGCAACAGCGCTGGTTGTTGTTTTCCAGCCACAGATGAATATCACTGCACTCCTGTGTGTTGAATACTTCAAACGTTTTCTTCTTGTAACCTAACTGTACTTGCATTAGGCATTTACCTCTTTCTAAAAATTCAATTTGATAGCACGAAGGAAGCTGAGTTTGTTTGGGTTGTTTATGTTGTGTGCACTGGGCACTTCAAGTCGGCATAAATTAATGAGTATTTATTGAGTGTTCGACTCCTTATATTTTTGCTTGTAACTCAATTTAAGGTGTTAATGTCCTCTCTTATGTGCACAGGGTCATACCTGTCTGGAGAATGGTTCATATCTTATGAATTTTCTCGGCTGCGCCAACTGTCACCAGCGGGACTTTGTGCTGATCAGCGACAGGACGATGGTGAATGAAGATGAGGAGGAGATTGTCACGTACCTGCGTGAGTCACGTCACATCAGTGTATGTCAATATTCTGTCAAATTTGTCATCAGTAACGCTTGCTTTTCCTCAGATATGTGCAAGAACTGTGATCATGTCATAGCAAGACACGAGTACACCTTCACTGTGGTAGATGACTATCAGGTGAGCCTTGCCCTCAATTCAATAACTGAATGCGAAAAGGTTAGGAATAAGACCTTACGATTATTTTAAGATGATTGATTAGAGATCATTAATATTTTTTAACCAGTATTCACTCTCTTTTTTTATTAGTTGTTGGCAAAGATAAAAATAAATTTTCCATTAAACTTTTCATTATTATTATTGGTAACACTTTACAATAAGGTTCCATTTGTTAACATTAGTTAACATGAACTAACAATGAAAATACTTATAAAGAACTTATTAATCATTTAAAATGAATAATTCTATAATTAATTTCAACATTTACTGATAGATCATTAAAATCAAAAGTTGTACTATACTATTCATAGTATTTAATATACCTGAACTAACATGAACTAACAATGAACAGTTGTGTTTTTATTAAGTAATGTTAACAGATATGAATAAATATGCATTAACTAATGTTGACTAATGGGACCTTATTGTGAAGTGAAACTTATTATTATTATTATTTACAATTAGAATATTACAATTATATAACTTATTGGATTAATGATTAATAATAATGAATGATAATAAAAAGAAATGTTCATAATTATAATTGTTATTACTGTTGTAGTCTAATAATTATTTAGTTATTGTGTTTAGTTATTTTACTGCCTTATGGACATAACTTATGATATACTCATCTCTGGCTGATAACAGATTACTTAATTGTGACATTGAAACAAGCCATTTCTGTAAAGCTGCTTTGAAAAAATGTGAAAAGCACTATACAAACACTTGAATTGTCTCAAAAAGGGAAAGTAACAATTACTAATCTGTACTGATCAACAGTTATTGGACAATAAAACAAAAGAGTTTTATTTTATCAGTCATGAAAAACAATATTGGTTCATCAATTTAAGATTAATTTAACAACTATATGGAAAATATTAGAATAGGAAACAGATAAAAAAATAGTCAATACTTGCGAATGTATGTAAATAGTACGTGAATACTAAAATATGGGGCAAATTAGAATGTTTTAGTTTGTTTAGCCTTTTATATTTGTATCTTATTATTTGTTATCCGTTTTTTTCTAGGAATACACAATGTTGTGCATGTTGTGTGGAAAAGCAGAGGATTCCATCAGCGTGCTGCCGGACGATCCCAGACAAACAGCGCCTCTGTTCTAGAGTATTTGCACAGACACAGAGACGAGGAATTGTCTTCTTTGTAAAGAGCATGGTCATGCATGATGGAGGGAGCCATGACACATGCAACGTTTTACATACGCTTAGCACTGGAGAACGACACACTGTCCCGTTGAATCCAGGAGAATATACCGCAGAATTCATTGTGCTTTGTTTCTACTGATTCAGGAGCGGCACTAAGGTTTATAGCACAGCTCTGACTCATAAAGATACATGAATTTGAGAGTCATTCACAAATATTAAACCTAATTAGGAATCATCCAAAGTTTGATTCACTCACTCTGTTCAATGTGTATGGAAACCCGTTTCTGCCACAGAATAGAAAAAGAAAAAGAAAAAAATCGCGAAATTTTATCTCACAGTTCAGACTTTTTTCTCGTAATTCTGAGAAAAAACAAATGTCAGAATTGTGAAATATAAACTTTCTTGCAATTATGGGTTTACACCTCGCAATTCTGACTTTTTACTCTGAATTCTGAGTTTACATCTCTGTGTTAACAATTGTTTTTGGTTTCTGCCACGGAATAAAAAATAGACAAGGTAACTGCAATTTTTTATCTCACAATTAAGACGTTTTCCCAAATTGTGAGATAAAAAGTTGCAATTACCTTGTCTATTTTTATTTACTGACAGTAACAAGCTTCCATAAAAGTGTTATTTCCCATGTTAAAATGCTTTCTCTTTTCCCATCTTAATATGCACAATGTTGCTCTGTTGCCAATTATGAGTCTGCAGTGGGAATATCTGTTTGACTGACCAAGAAAGGTTAGCTTTGAGTGGATTATCAGTATGTTAACCACAGACAGGATTTTTGTTACTATGCAGCGCTTAGATACACAGATGTCAAGATTGGAGACAGATCAAATATGGTAAAATATGGAAAAAATGGTACACACGAGAAAAAAACTGATTCCTGCTTGTTATTACTGATACATTTAAAGTAGATATGTCATACTGTATTTCTAGTGTTAATGCAACAAAATATTTTGTACTAAATAAACTATGAAACAATGCATTTTATGTTTATTAAACTAATGACAGCATAATATTATCACAACATTAAGCATCAGGTACTTAAGAGTACTTGTTTATTCCATTAATATGAATACATATACATTCCAACATAGTAACTTTTTTTTTGTTGCATGATTGAAATGTTTGTTAGCAAAATACAATACATGAAGCATGAGGTGGAATTACCTTTTCTTAATATATTTATATTTATATACAGTTCAGATTATGTACAATTCTTAAGATAAACCATCCGATGTAGCACAGTTGTGGGCCTATACTGAAGCTTTTAAAGTAAAAGTACTTCCAGAGGACAAAATAGACCATCCAGAACAAAACAACTATTCTATCTGCACAGCACACAATGAAGTCGTGGTAATGACTTGGTATCTACAATCCCTTTCTTTGTACATCACATGGGTCACGCACTCCTCAGACAACTTTCAATAAATGCCATGACAGAGAATTCAATCCCAAAAACCGCAGAAGCATCTTGGCATAAGCAGCCAATTTATCAAATGGACATCTTGCTGATGTATTCAAGTAATATGGTAATGGGACTATAGTGTTTGAATCAAGAGTTCCTTTGAGGGTCCATAGTGTTTCACTGCAATATATCGGGAAGTTCCTTACTGACGTTATGACTATTTACAAGGATTTTTAGTATGATATTGCAAGCATGGAAGAGATTATACTTGGCAACTGCAAGGTTGCTGACCCTTAATGTGATGGCAAATTCACTCAGTAGCTAGTAGTAATACTACAACCTCAGGTACGTAACCACATCCAATAAATAAATACATTCTATAGATGATACAGTTTACAGTACATACATTCCCTGAAATACATATATACACATGCTTGCTTGCACCAGATGTACCTATACATGAAGGATATTACACGGTATAGATAGCTATCTGTTGAAATGAGCATTTAAGCTTAAACGCTTTGACCAATGATTTAAAAACAGAAAAATGACAGAAAATGTAAGGCTAGTGTCTGGAGTGCCTACAAAACATGCATCTGTTTGACAGAATACAATGAGTTACTAAGTGCAGCCCCATTGTTTTCACATTCTCACTGATGGCGACTGATAGTAAATGTTCAAAATCAGACATGTGTTAAGGTATGTAAGTGCAAAAAAAACATGAGAAAATAAACAGATAATTTACATAGCAAAAACAAAACAAAAAACAATATATGGCACAAATTATATAGTGTTAAAAAAAAAAAAAGAAATGATTACAATGATATGCAATGGGCAATTTGTTTAGAAGAAAGTTACACAGCGTCACTGGAACATTTAGCATGTTAATATTTCATGTTTTTCTAATGTCCAAACCATGTCCAAAACATGATGCTTTCAAGTAATCACAACCAACCGGCAAACACCTGGTCCTTTATCGCTCTACTTATCAAAACACCACTTGTAAAAACGCTACAGTTCATCAAACGGTAAAAGCTACTTTTGAAACCGGTCAAATTACTGACAGCTCACACCAACAGTTACATGCTTTCTCTTTATTTGCTCATTTTGGTGGTGGTTTTGCTCTCAGGACTTCCTGCTCTGACTCTGGGGCAGAACCCTGACCCGTGATTTACTGTCAAGTCACTGATTCGAGGAGGCGGGGAGGCAGAGCAGCTACTTGGTGACTGGCTGTGACCCCCCTCAAAACGAGAAGGTGAGGAGCTCAACGAGCGCTGCAGAGAGGAGGTGGTGGTGCGTTGGTAACGTGAGGTGCTGACAGCCAGTGCACCTCGCTCCTGCATGAGCTGAGAGAGGTTGTCCAAGAGGTCCGTGTCACCTGTGCTGCTAGCACGAATGCGGTAGCGTCTGCGTCTGAAAAGACAATAACGTTCAACATTGATCATTTAGATGTACAGTCGTGGCCAAAAGTTTTGGCAGTGACATGAATTTTGTGTTTTGCAAAGTTTGCAGCTTAAGCTGTTGTGGTGTTCATTCACATTGTTTCTAGATTATTGTGTAGAGTGATCAGATGCATTTCAAATAATTGCTAAAAGCTTCATTGGCCAAAAAAATTAACTTTTAACAAAAAAACAAATTTCACTGTTTTTTGATCCTGACACAAAATGACCAGCTAACATTAATTAATTGACTAATCATATCTGCAGCACATGTGAAGGTGTGAATGAGTACTAGTCAGGTAAAATCACTATCATACTAATTAGATTGTAAGAGCAGACTGATTGCTATAAAAGGAGGAAAGAAGTGCTTCCAATCATTGTGTTCGTTAGCAATGGTTACCTCCAAAGAAACACATGCAGCCATCATCACTTTGCATCAAAATGGCCTCACATGCAAGAAAATTGCTACAAAGAATATTGCACCTGAAAGAACCATTTACCGGATCATCA